GGGAGCTTTTCAGCGCGTTGGGGGGTGCAGCAGCCGGTGTCAGGGCAGTGACCCACGTGGCCACACACGGCCCCATAGGCAGGGCTGTGAGTGCAGCAACGTGGTGAGGGCAGCACGGAGGCTGAGAGCAGCTTGTTGCTCCCCTGGGGACACAGAGCTCTTGGGAATTGTCCAGGCTGAAGTTCGTGCTTGGACTTGGTGGGGTCTTGGAGAGAAACCAGCCGGGAGGAGGCAGCGATGACGGTGTCCATGCGTGCTCAGTGCAGGTGTGCACGGGGGCGGTGTGTTCAGGAGCACGTTGGTGTGTGAACATGAGCAGATTTGTCACGTCCTGGCTCACTTTTAGAAGAGAGGGAGGCGATGGGAGCTCAGGGGTTTATCATCTGCTGTGTTTTCCCACAGTGCCCAAGTGAGGATAATTCGGAGAGCAAGATGAGGAGTGAGGTAGGTCTGGATTGTAGCTGTGGGATGGAGGGAGGATGGATTAGTCCACTGGGGACAGAGCATGTTGAGTGCCCTGGATTTAGCCCTTGTCAACTGCCTTCACCAGCACATCCCCAGCTCCTAGCCGAGTGGGATGGTTGAAGGGTCTCAGAAAAACCTGCCCTTTTCCAGGGTGAAGCGTGGGCTGGAGAAGGGGATGCATGCGGAGACTGCTGGGCCTGGCAGGCACCTGGGCAGCTGCCATGGGACAGAGCCTGGGGTTTGCAGGCAGTACCTGGAGACACAGAACTCCAGGAATTGTTTGCATGTGGGGGCAAGTATTGGAATTGGGGGCAGGTAAAAAGAGGTGAGGGGTAGGTCTGGGGGGGAAAAGGAGCTGAAGGCTGGACCTGAACTTTGCAGTGTTGGAGAGGACAGTGGAGCTGGGCCAGGTTTCTCTTTCAATGGAGATGTGGCTGGGACCAGGTTTCCAACCTGATTCTGGACCAGGAGTCTCCTGATCTGCACGTGGCAGCTGTGACCTTGTTGGGACTCAAGTCTCCTTCCTTTCTGCTGCAGGTGGATGCTGCAGCTCACGGCCCCGCTCGGTATTGCAGCACGAGGAGATGCTCCTGGCCATGGCCTCCTTGGCCTGTGGGCCTGTCCCCTCCCTGACAGTGTTCCCAGGTGGCCCGTGTGTCCATCCTGCCATGACACAGTCCTCTCTGCACGTGTTGTTAGCTGTGACAATAAATCCATTTGAGGAGATGCTGGTCCTCATTAAAAATGTTCTGTCCTGTCTGTTGTGGGGTCAGGGTGGGGGGATAGATAGATTGGGGTGAGAGGACACAGCTCCTGGGATGGGTTTTAAAAGGGAGAAGGTCTTGTTTTAAAAAAAATGCATATGAAAATGAACTAAACCAGAGGCACTTCAGCCAGGAGGATAAAAGCTTCCTCTTGGAGCTGGGGAATGATTCTGGCAGGAGATTAAAAAAAGCCAGCAACATCAGAACTGCCTCACAGTGACTCTACCTCATCGAAACAGCGTATCTTCATCCTCCTCCTCCACGTGAAGGAGGAACAGCCTTCCAGCACCTCATCACTGCCCTGGCACTAGCATCCCCTTCCCCACGGCAAGAGGCAGCCAGAGCAGGACCAGTCGATTCATTATCGTGAGGTGCAATTGACCCCTTTAACTCTCGGTAGCTCAGATTAAGAGATGAAGCCTCGTTCCTCCCAGCTCTGAGACAATCCAGGTCAGATGTTTATTAACAGAAGGCCCAGACGCATCCATTAGATTGCCTGAATGTGCAGTTAACCCCGACTCAGGGCTGCGGTTTAGCTCCTCCATCAGAGCAGTCATCCTTCTTGGGCGGAGGGGCCATCACGCAGATGAAAGCAGCTCTCAAGGCCCTGAGCCAGCTTGGCCCTGGGGTTGCATCCCTCATCCTGAGCGAAGAGGCAGCATCTCCTGCTGCATCCCAGGGCTTGGCAGCACCTTCCCAGCAGCCAGGGCAAGTGGAAGCCCCATGTGGTGCCCCCTGTGCCCAGCCAGACCCACCAGGCTCCAGGCTCTCGCTGCTCACTCTCTGTGGCCACGCACTGCCTGCACTAGAGATCCTTTCCACCATCAGAGGGCATTGCTGCCTTAATTTTTCATGTGGGCTGTTGGCTTATTGAGCTGGTTGGGGTTGGTGATGCTGCTTGGGTGGTGACTTGTGGTCCAGCTGCCCAGGACCTGTCCAGGGGCTGTCGTGGCCCCCTCGACATCCCTGACGTGGTGGCTCGTGACCGTGACCAGCTGGAGCCTCCCCGGGAGGGCTCTCTTAGCAGGGGGTTTGCAGCCCTGGTGGCCAAAGCAGCGTTTCTGGCTGCATGGTGTTGCTTGGTTTGCCCTTTTCAGATGTTTCCTGCAGTCCTTAGAGGGTGACAAGTGTGTTTGTAACCCTAGAGGGGAGCGGGGAGGGGAGCAGCATCCACATATAGAGAGCCCTTCCCGGGAAAGGACCAGAGGGCACAGAGCGGAAAAATCCGCTAGATTTTTTTTTTTTCCTTCTGAAAGCAATCATTTGAATGCCTTTTAATTTACGAGCAACCCAGCTGATTTATGAGCCTTATCTGGGCACCTTAGCGAGAAGCAGGCAAAGGCAGTTCCAGGAAGGCAGCCTTTCTCAAAAGGGAGATGCAAGCGGGACTCAGACCTGCACTTGGTAAGCAGCAGTGGGGTGGAGGAGGAGGCCACGTGGGGTGGTCAGTGGGGTTCCTGTGATGGAGACAGCCCCTGCCCATGAGGATCTCCCTTCCTGCACAGCTGGTGGGAGCTGGCAGGCTGGGGTCTTGCTCTGCACCAAGCCTCTGGGCTCTTGTGGGTTAGGGTCTGCTCAAACATCAGCTGAACTTGCCCACACATGGCCAGCAGCCCCAGGACTTCTACATGACCGGGACCACCCTCCTGCTCTCCATGTCACCAGGAGCCACATCCCTCTGCACATATGTGTGTTAGTGCATGCCCTGCCTTGAACATCCTCAGACACTGTTGCACAGGTTTGCAGATCCTTCAGCCAAGGGATGCCAGGAAGGTGGCCAAGACTCCCCCTTGGTGCTGAGACCCCAGGAAGGACTTGCTCCTTTCCTCACTATCGTTGATTTTCTGCAAGCTTCCTTACTCCACTCCAGTGCATTTCACACAGAGTAGTCCTAACCTGGGGAGCCCAGAGCCAGTATGGACGCTGTATATTGAGATCCTAGAAAATGTTGAGCCTATCTTCCCTCATCTTTCTCCCCATTCTCTTTTGCTGCTGTCCTGTTATTTGTGGAGCGTAATCAGCTGCAGTTCCCTCCACAGTGACCAGGGCTGGCTGCTCTGGGGGGTGAAGGGGACACTCAGCAGGTCCATCTCCCCTATCACATGTGCCCTGCACTTCTACCCATAGTCTGCTAAAGAGCCACCCATAAATCTCATCCACCCAAGCTCCTTTTCCTCTCTGCAGCCCCTGCAGAAACCTGCTCCAGTCACTTGGTCATTCAGTGACGTCCACAGGGCATGACCCTCCCAGGGGAGAGAAAGGGTCATTAGATATGTGTTTCCAATGGGAGAGTAGGGAGTAAGGGATACTGATAAGAAAGGAATCCTGATAAATTTATTCTCTCGAACCACCTAATCAGCCCTGGAGTAAATCCTGCCACAGGCCCAGGCCTGACGTTACCCTCTGAGCAGCCCCCAGAGATCACATCCTCCTCCAGTGCAACCAAAATCTCGTTGACTGCTCTTGGCAGCTTCACTGCCACCACTATGTCCCTCTCCCCTGGTACTCAACTACTTCCATGAGCCTGGGGATGTGGAGGCCAGAGGATGAGCTATCCCTCAGAGATGTCCCCACACTTGCCCAAAACCATGCTCCAAGGGGCCCCATCAACAGCAGAGGATCTGCGGGGGGGTTTTTTTTTTTTTTTACCATTTTACTTTATTTGCATTAAGATAAACAGCACTTTCGTCTGTACAATTTCTTCTTAAATATTTGGCAACCTTTAAAAAAATGAAAAATCAACAACAAAAATGTAAGGAACAGTGCAGGCTACAATATCAAAACAGTACGTTGCTTGTGAATAAATAACTTCCTAGAGTAGCTTGGGGATTTGACTGTTCAGATTGTACGGGCCTGGCAGACCCGGCTCTTGGGAGTCCGTGTCCTTTCCCCTGATGGCAGGAACAGCAGGAAGGTGGGAACGTGGGCATGGAGAACTCCGTCTCTTCTCTTGCCTAGCTCCTAGTTGCCTGGCTCGGCGGCGGTGCTGTTGACGTTTTTGTTGGTTTTGCAGCAGAAGTACTGGTTCCAGATTTGCAGGAAGGCTGTCCGGAACTTTTTGATCCTGAAGGCGTAGACGATGGGGTTCATGGCTGAGTTGCCATGGGTGAGGAAGATGGCGATGTACGTGAGGATGTGAGGTGTCTCGCAGGACGGACAGAACAAGGTGATGCAGTTGAGGATGTGCAGGGGGAGCCAGCTCAGCGCAAAGAGGAACAGGACCAGTGCTAAGGACTTGGCGATCTTCAGCTCCTTCCCATAGTACTTCTGGGGATCAGTGGAGCTGGAGGAGACCTTCTTGTTGAGCTGCTTGCGGATGAGGTTGAAGACTTCCAGGTAGATGAGCAGCATCAGCAGCAGGGGAGGCAGGACCCAGACAAAGAAGTTGAAGTACACCATGTACTCCATGCTGATGACGGTCTCGAACTGACACTTGATGACAAACTCTGTGTGGCTGCCATTCAGCTCCTGAGTCCTCCGCATCTTGTTCAGGTTGTTCCAGCCAAACATAGGGGTAAGTCCCACCAGAAAGGAGATGATCCAACAGCAAGCAATGGCCACGGCTGCACGCCGGGGTGTCACCACGCTTTTGTATCTGTGGAAGAGACAGCAACCTCAGGGAAGGGTTAACACAGCAAGATCCTTTGCCCAGGTTTAAGATAGCTCCCCTTGTGCCAGTGATCATGCTGAGATTGCACCATGCTTTTCCCTCTTTTCCTTAGGAATTTTTGCCACTCATTTGGGTAAGGATGTTAACATCCTGGTGTCTCTGCAGGTGCCCTGGGGATCCCCCACTCTGTCTCCCACTGCCTCCTCCACGGACTAGGAGAGACCTCGGGGGGGTTATCCTGGAGCTCTTGGGCTTGATTCAAAGTCAGGAAACAAGTTAGCCTGGACCAGGGTTGGGGGAGTCTGTGTTCAAAATCCATGATCCCAAGTGACCCCAATACCTAGAGGGGCTACAGGCCTCTTTGGCAGCCCATTTTACATATGAGAACCCCACACAGCAGTGGCTGATCTTTTCCTCCCTCTCCCCACACGCCATCCCTCTGCACGCGCCCTGCTGGGACCCTGCCCCAGCTGATTCCCGAGGAAATCTCTAGCAAAAGCTTCCTCTGGGGCCTGCTGGGCTGGAGAAAGGATCCATCAGGGCTAATGGACCCCTGGGGACGCTTCTGGGCAGTCTGTTTCACTTCCTAATGCGCTGGGCTGATCAATAAAACCCTCTTTCATAATGGGACAGTGCCAAGGGATGGAGGGAAGAGGAGAACTGTGCACTGACTTGGCTCTGCCCCCTCCCCAGTGTCACCATGGAGCACACTGGGGCTGTGCCCACCTCTCCGGAGCTTTCCAAGCAGGAAGGGAAGCCTGCTACATTGATTTTCCCCTTGGCCCTCAGACGAGAGGTTCTCCTTGGAGGCTGAGAGGATTCACAGCCTCAGTGTTATTGCTTTTCTCCAGAGGGGATTGAACAAAGAACATTTGCTGGGTTTTTGAGCAAAGCTGGTGTTAACCTGACTGAGGGGATTGTATGACAGTGCTGGAAAAGCTGGATCCCTTTCTTGGTCCTCACCTCATGCCTGCAGGCCTAAATTGTGGTGCAAAGATGAAGCAACTTTTTAATACACTAGCCCTGCAGATGAGACCCCACATCCTTCTTCTCCCCCTTGAAGGTCCCTTCTTAATTTTGAGCTCACAGACAAATTGCTGGGATGAGAACACAGAGGGGCACAGCATGGGGCAGGAACATTGGTTCTTAGGAGCCTGGAGGGTTTGGGGCTGCCAGTCCTTCATGATTTTCCCAAATGAACCTGCTCTGGGAAACAATTTCCAGCATCCCAGAGGCAGCCCCAGGTCCCATGGGAATGATATGGCATTGCAGGCTGCTGTTTCCTCTGCAAGCCAAGGCTGGAGCTAGAGGGTGATTTATTCCCTGTGAAGAAGAGAAAGGGCAGGAGACCCTGAGAAAGGCGTAGGACCAGGAGAGCCCGAGCATGGGAAGGCTGAAGGGTCGTGGGGACATTGGTCAAGCACAAAGAGGGGTCCCACCAGAGCACTGGCAACAGAGGGGTACAGAAGATCCTTGTGGGGCTGTGCACTGACCTGTGCATCCCGTGTCACTGGTAGGGAGGAAAAAGGCTCCAGGAGGGCTTCTCTCCCCTTCCATCCATAACCCTGCTCGTGCCCTTCTAGGCTCAGGCTCCCGGGGGGAACTAAAGACACCGGGATCAACCCCCTCCCTTGCTCCTTCTCTTTGCAAGCCCTCCTCATGGGCGTGCAAGCCAAGGCTGTGTCCCTGCATGGGATCCCCGATTCCCAGTGGTCTCCTAATTTTGCTGAACGTGCCTCTACCCCAGGTGCTCATCTGGTGCTGCAGTGATCATGGGGGAGACAAGGATGCTGGGCAGCACCTGGGCACTCCCTGACCACCTTCCATGGCTTTGCCACCAGCCCCACAGGCACAGAGTCGTGTTCATCCCTTCTCCCCGTCCCTGGAAGCCCAGCACTGTAGCAGGGAGTACAGGGGATGGAGAGACCAGCCCTGGTGATTCCGGCCCCCCGCAGCTCCAGAACATCATGTGTTGCTGCAGATGGTTATCAGATCAGCTGTGGAGGTCGTGGAGACCTCAGGGCGCGTGTGAGCCAGTGTGGTCTGGAGGCTGCAGCACACACAGGGCAGACACTCGTCCCACGCACCGCCGGCGTCGTCACTGCCCGTCCATCTCTCCTCCTTGCTGCGTATCCATCTCCTACATTGCTGCACACCCATCCTCTACCACAGTTAACATCCATCCTCTCCTTGCGACTCATCCATCCCCTACCACACGGCACATCCATCCTCTTCTGGCTGCACATCCCTGGCCTGACACAAACACAGCATCCTAAGCACAGCCCAACACCATCGCATGGGGCATTTAGTGATGGAGCAAATAAAGGAAAGGCTTGGGAGTGCCCTTCCTGCTCCCGCTTTCCTGCCTTAGATATGCTAGAAGAAAAAAAAATCCTTTCTTATTTACTTCATTTTGCATTAATAAAGAGATGGAGTTTGGTACGGGTCTAGAAGACAAAAGCACTAGGAAGCACTGGTAATGGCTTGCAATTAATAAATAATCATATTATGAGTTTCACCATCATGATCATCATTGCATTTTTATTACCACTATTATTTTTATTAACAGCTGCCACTAAAATGTCAACAGTAATGGACACTTCCATCATTATAAAATCTGGATTTGTTTCCTTCATCTGCAGGGTTTCAAGCCTGGCCATATTTTCCAGCTTTTTCCTCCAGACCTCCCTCCATCTGCTGGTCGTCTGCCCCTTTCCCTGCCAAGACTGGGAGCAAGGAGCCTGCAGGGAATACAGGAACCATCCATCCTCATTGACCTTGTGGCAAACTGGAATGGGCAGGATTTTTGGTTTGGTGCGGAAGCAGGACGTCTTTGAGGGCTTGGAAAACATCTGAGAGAGCCAAGACATCCATTATTGATAGAGTTCTGTTTGTACTACCAGAGGAAGCACAAGAAGTGGCAGCTGGAGGCAGAGGCGGACAAACTGGCCCCAGGAGTCACACAGAGATAATGGGTAAGGGGATGGAGAGCTGGAGCTCCAGGAGAGACAGTTACTTGTGGCAATATGTGCCAAGAGAGGCTTCAGTCTCACAGTTTCTTGGGCTAAGGATGGAATCCTTGGGAGAGATGTTACAGCCCCTCTTCTCCAGGATATTGCAAAATGCTCCTCAGGGCAGTACCCTGGGGACGTTGTCCTGTTTGCTGTCCCTGTGTTATCATCTCCAGAGTAACATCACTAAAGTTCTTCCTTACGCTGGTACCAGATCACCAGGTTTTGGTACAGCTCTACCTCCTCATCCCTCTTCACTGCAGCTTAGGGAATGGGCTCAACCCAGCTCATGCTCTTTAGACGTTTGTCCCCAAGAAAAGGTAGAGGGTTCATTTCCTAGGTGTCCTATCCACAACTTGATCCAACTCCGCAACCAAGAAACATTCCCTCTTGGTTTGGCTGAAAAACTTTGAAGGATTCCTTGACTCTTTTGAAAGGAAAAACAACAACAACAACAAAAGCTTTTAGTATTCCTTTGAGTACTTTTTTTCCTTCCATAAAATATTTGCAATTGTCCAGCCAGCCCCAAGATGTGGCTTTGCTGGTCCTTGCTCTGGCAGAGTTTATTTCAGTGCAATTCCTGGAAAATTAATTCACTAATGAGGGCAGGTCCTCACTAATTAAATGAAATAGGAGCCAATATGGTAGGAGGATAGGAGGCCAAGCTGACATGAAGCTCATCTGCATCATGAACACAATGAGAATGAAGCAGCCAGAGCATGTTCTGATCTAATTGAAAAATCTCTAGACAAAAGCACTTTGATCTCAGAGGATTTAGGTTTCTGGTGTTTTTTTTCCTGGCTGTATCTTTGCTTCAGATCTTTTAGTGTCCTGGAGGCCATGGATTGGGAAAAATCAGATGTTGGAGCTAGAAGTTGCTGAGAAGTGTGAAGCAGCATCCACCTCCTGCAAGGGAATGGTTCATGGATGGGACATGCCAGTTCCAGGATACCCAGGGAAGGTGGGAAGTGCTGCACAGGGGACACTGCATGCCAGAGGGACCTTGGTCACAGCTCCTTTTCAATCCTAACTCTGTACTGGAAGAGTTTATTTCTTCATTCGCTTTTTGACCAACTTTCCTCTGTAATTCTTCTTCCCTTGAGATCTGTTTCGGGCTTAATATAGGTCAAAAGCATTGAATTCAGAAATGTTAAATTTATTAAGGATTTGAAGGTTTATCAAGATGTCTACAAAGGCCTGTTTGCTTTGGGACAAACATTTTAGCACCAACATCCTTCCTGCATTTTCTGTATGTGTTGCCCATTTTCTCAGGTTGGGACAGTCTCCATGTTGACTTTATGTCTTCCAATCGTGGTGGGGCTGGAGCCAGAATTCAGCCTTGTAAATGTTGCTGAAAGTTTTCAATGGGGCCTGGAAAGCCAGCCTGGGTGGTCAGGATCTGCCCCTTGTCCTCTCTGGAGGACCCTGCTGTGTCCTGTATGGGAATGTGCATCCAGAGCTCTTCCAGCCTTGGGGCTGCCCCATTACCCATCCCTCAGAGTCCATGCCTGTAGGGTTCTCCACGTCTCAGGGCTCCCCTCTGAATGCTCAGCCTTCATCTTTGCAGATCTTTAGGGCCAAACATCAACCATGCTCTTGACAACATCCATCCAACGACTGCTGGCAAACTAATGCTGGTGATGTGCCCACATTCCCTGCAAAAACAGCTGGGACTGTTGGATGAGGCACGACGCGCTCTATCTCCTGCCACAGAGGAGTTTTGCACCTTCCTGCATCATCCCTGTCATGTTCACAGCTGGGGCAGGGCTGGAATGACACATCCATGGAGCTAATGTGAGAAAAACAGCTCCCAGGCAGAGGGTTGCAGACACTCTTGCAGCACGTTGCTCTCATGATCACGTCACTTCTGTTTTTTAATTCTGGCTCTCTGAAGAAATGCATATTGGGACAGCTGGTGGGCATGTGCATGGTGATCCTTGACCTGAGAAAAGATGGATGTCAGCCGACATCTGC